AATGGCTAAAATAAGTGCCTTTAAAATCTCACCTATTATGTGAAAATTTATGCTTTTAGAAATCTTGTTTGCTAGTAATTAAGAGCTCCATTTACCGATATGGTGTTTAGAGATAATATTTTTAAATGATGAAGATCCGTGATATTATTTTTGGTTTTATGAGTTGTTCAAAACTGTCCACAGTACAAAAACAGTGACTTTCATTTTCTAGCATTTTAGAAAAAGAATCAGGCAGACATAGAAAATGCTCAGGTGTTTCAGCTGTCTTCACTGTATGTATATGTACACATGCACACACACAACCACAAACATCTACGGTTTTAAAATTGAACACTGAATGCTTTCAGAGCAGAAGTTGTCTCTCTATGCCTCAAGAAAAGAAAGCTGCAGTTTCCTTATTCTGCATATCCTTATGTGATGCCCCTCTGGGGCAGCACTTCTCCAACAACCCAATCACCACTGTTTAGTGATGGATCCATGAGCCTCATATTTTTATTCTAAATTCAAGTTCACTCATCATATCTAATGCCCTTGAAGCAATCTCAAATTACTGCTATTACACGGGTCACTAGAAACCAGAGGTACTAATACAAATTTTAAAAAGAGAAAGGAATAAAAAGCCCTTACACAATTAGAGGGCGAACAGTTCCGTCAGTTTAATTTCATCACTAAATCCAGTCCTTGATCCGGAGCTGCGGGCCAGCGAGGCTAGTGTGTGCAGAGATGCTTGGCTGCAATGCACGAGGCAGGCAGCCCCACCAGGTAGGATGAGACCATCAGCCTCTGCCACCTACATCTGTGGCCCATCTTTCTACTTCATCAGCTTTTCATGGAATGCCATTTCACAACAAGCCTGCGTCTGCCATCCACATGCTGTCCTTATCCTGGTCCTTTGGCCAACTTTCCCCCACATTTCCCCAAGTTCATGACCGGCTGCTCCTGCCTCCTCCTGATTCATCAGCTTACTTCTGCAGAGCTACCCCTCAATTTTCTAGAACTCTGCGTAAGGGATTTCCTTGGAACAATACGTGAAATTTAAGCATTAACTTAGCTTGCTTTCAAACGCCTCAGAAAAGACAGGTTGTGCGTTGATGCCGCGTTCAGCTGGATCTACTTACCAAGGATTGTTTCTGCAGCATTTCAAATAGTTCCCCAAAGTTCCCCCTCTCTGTGTTAGTGACTGATGCCTAATTAAAACCCTGTCTTCCTATTTACCTCCTGGAACCAACTGAATTTATATTGGTTCTCAATCCATTTTCTAATATATTTGTATTTAAAGAGCAATCTTCTTTTTAAATTTCCAGAGACTTCAATTATTTTATACACCATATGTATTCATGGGTTAAATGTTAAAAATATTTTATTTACAAAATGCATTTCATGACAATACACAGTTTCTTTTTGGGAAACTACTCTCACCAAAGAAAGCTCACCAAGAGATCAAAAGAGAATATGTATACTATTTTAATAATTAAGAATACACCTATGCAATTCCTCAGGCATATTTTCCTGGAGGTGTCCATGGTTTAGGGAGCTGATACATGTAAGTGACTTATTTTATATGCTACCCTGTTCTGATGGTACCGCCTTTTGTGCTTCCTGCTTGAGCTGATACTAATTTAAGAAACCTTCCACCTCTGCCTTTACTACTCAGGTTAAAATATGCACCTTTTACAACCTTTTACAATATCCACACTTTCAGTTCTTTTGTAACACGCGCAGGCGTGACTCTAAGACCAGCACAGACAGGCTGCGTGCAGACCCGCACACAGTCTCACCCAGGACTGGAAGGCCCAGCACGGCCTCCAGGATTCTCCGTGAGGAGCTGGCTAAGAGGGTGCTCCATGTGGGAGGCAGCAGGCAAGCCTCCTAAACTACATGTGCAGCCAGGATTTCCTGGAAGTCTCTGCACGAAACACAAGCAGAAGCTGATGGGGCTCATGTGTGACAGGGGAAGGGACCATTCTTAACCACAGTGTGGGTGCACATGTTACTGAGCAGGTGACCGTCCCGAACCATAGTGTGCAAATGAGATGGTAACACTGTCCTTTGCTCAGCTTTTCAAAAAACTGCCTTTCTTTTTTGCATAAAAAGTCAAAAATTGACATTTCTTGTTTGTACAGAAAATGTAAATGATCCATAAACAATTTATAAGATAAAGTCCCAACTAAAAAATAACACAGAGAGAAAAATGCAAAAATGGATGGCCCTGGGTCCTAATGAAATAACAGGAGGATTGGGGGTGGGGAGGTTTGCTTAAGTGTCTTTTTAAAAGTTTACCTGAGAGACAAATGCAGGTCATGCCTAGTTAATACCTGAAGTCAGATTTTGTGACTAAGTTTTTTTTTTTTTTTTACTTTTAATGCTATGGACTGCTTTCTGTGTGGTATCATGACTAAAAAATATCTCCTACAGGAAAAAAAATTTCATTTCCAAGGCTCTGGATCCTATGTAATAATAAATGGGAGTATCGTGTCAATTCCACAGTTACACTGTAGCTACAGAGCTTTTATTTCAGATCCTATAGATTATTCTGACAATAAAAAGCATAATAAAGAAATCTCAGGAAAGCCACGTTTAGAGAATTTGTATAGAAGCTAGTAGCATTTTGGTTAACAGCTCTGGGAAACTAAAAGTTATGATGCAAACAAAATGATTCTTGTTTGTGAGAATAGGTGGAAATATGCTTACCACTGGCAAAAAATGTACATTTACTTTAATTTATTCATTTACCCAGGAAAAGAACTCTTTCTGTGTGCTCATAATCACTGGCTTTACTTAGTACTCAAAAGAGCCTTATCAAAATTCCTTAACAGCCACCCATACACATATGGGCTTTAAATTGTGACAGATATAGAGTTTTATTATTAGATAAGCTTAAAAGTTGAGGCTATTCTATTCTATTTCTGCTGTTAAAACTCATATTAGAACATAATTTAAATTGACCACTGTCCTGATAGAAGAGGGGAAAAAAGTATCTGTAATAATTAGGAATTATATACAGACTTATCTGTTCCCAGGAAAATGCAAATAAAGAGCTCTGTAATTATTGTTTTCTTTTCATTGACCACACACACCTCCACCGCTAACTTTTCCCTAAGAAGTGAACACTTACAGGTTTGATTTGACTCATCCACCACGATAAGCTGTTGGCAGATGACATAGGAAACTTCACCCCACAGATAAATTTTCGAGTAACTGGAATTAGTACACACATCCTGAATACCTTTTCCTACTTCATTTTTGGCTATAAAAATTAAGAGACTTGGTATATTCAAAATAAAGTGTATACATATTTCACATAAAATTTTATTTTGAATTGTTATAGTTTATAGCCAATGAAGTCGTCCTTCAGATTTCTTGCTTTCCTTTCTGAAAATGAATCCCTTCTAAGCTAACATGACTGCCCTTAAATTAAAGGTACAAAAATGAATTTGGAGAAAGACATGAGTGTTCATCAGCTTCTATTTTCTTTTGATAGGTTTTGCTTTGTTGTAAAATATTGTTCCATACTTCTCCATTTTAATATTTAAATATACTAAATAAAAATACTGGAACACATGAACACTTGAAGCATAAAAGGCAATGTTTCTTTTTCATTACTTTTAAAATTTATACTTATTATTAAATTCTGTGATTTTTTTTTCAATATCATTGTCACTTTTTGTTAGCATTATTTTTGGAAGACATTGACCAGAGCTGATTCGGAGTGAAATTTTCAGAGAACAAAGTGAGTAGCCAGCATTCTTTGCAGCAGCTCAAGAGTTAAACCAGAATCACAGAATCACCCCCCACACCAAGGCTCTGAAGCCCTCCTAGAAGCTGTCACCTTGCTCCCTGCCACCCTGACATGCAATCATAATGAATGGCTGTGTGCTCTTGGCATTTATTCCTTCAAACCGTCTGGTTAATTTCTACTACTAGAAGAAGTCGGGAAGGGCTCGGGGACTGTTTAGAAGCAGTTAGGAAGAGATGGGGCAGAAACTTATCTTAAGCCTCCGCAAGGATGAAGATTCTTGGGGAAGGAGGTACATGTTCAATAACAACTAACTCCGCATCCTCCCGCAGAGAAACTGGGAAACCTGACACACGATTGTTGTGTCTTTCCCCCGTTCTTTAGGGCTCTTTGGTCACTTAAAAAACCCCCAACACATTTCAAATAATAACTGAACTTTCTCCTGCAGACTCATGATAAGGGGCGGCTGACATAAGTTCCTCTCTGGCAAAGAGGCGGCCGCACCGAGGGCTCCGGCCACCTTCCAGGGACAGACACCGGCGGGACGGCGCCCAGGGCCGTCCTCCTGGCGGAGCAGCGGCCGGCTGCGCCCTGCCCCCGAGGGGAACCCTGGGCTGCCCACCGACGACTAACTTCGGGGGCTCATTCGTCTCCCAGCACCTGGGGAGCCAGGCTCAAACCTGACACCAGGCACTTCCTCTCCTCTCCTGCTTCGCAGCTTTCCTCATTTCTAATGAGCTGCGATGCTTGTTTCTCTTTTCATGCATTAATTTCTGCTATTCCCCCCGGACGAACCCTGTTCGCGCTGCAGGTCCGCGTGTTTACAAAACAGCCGGCGCCGCTCGGAATAGAAACTGTCACCCAGCGTGGGGAGGCGGTTGCCAGGGTTTTGCCCACTCCCGCCTCCAAGACAATTGCGATGGAGAAGCTGGCGCGAGGTCCCGTCCCTCGTTCTTAGGGACGCTTAGGGCTTAGGCGAGCGTTTCTTTCGGCACCGGCGTCTGTGCGCGACGGTCAGTAGCCGTGCTGGAGGCCGGGGAGGGCACCGCCTTCCGCCGGGGCCCCCGCTCGGTTGGCCACCCCCTCGGGCTCGCGGAAGCCCGGGCGTTCACGGAGGGACCTGAACTCTGGAGCGGGGCGCTCGGCGGGCCCCGGCCACGTCGCCCCAGCATCCCGAGGGAGGCCGCTAGAAGCGGGCAGGGCGCGCAGAGGCGACGCGCGTCGCGGGGAGTGCGCGCCAGGCGGCGCGGAAGCCGGTCCTTACCTTTCCGCTTGGCCCGCCTCCTCCTCCTCCGCTTGGACTTGCATTTGAGTTGACCGCTCAGCCCTCCGGACGCTCTGCTGGTCCCCAGGACAGATGCCATGGCCGCGGCCGGCGAGTGAACCCAGGCAGGAGTCCTCTGTCTAACACTCTCAGCTTTCCGGCTCCGGCCGCGGCCGCGGGGGACGCTCCTGCGGATCCGGCGCCGGCTCACTTTTCGGGGCTGCGCGCTCGCACTCCTGGCGTCTCCTCTGGCAGCTCTCTGTCACTTGCGTCCAGCCGGGCAGAGCCGGCTATCTGAGCCCGCACCAAGCGCGCAGGCCGGGACCGCGAAGCGCCCGCCGCCCCAGCCGCCCCGGATCTGGGCTCCGCGCGCAGGCTCTACTTTGGCACCTCTGCTAGTTGTTGGGCACCAGCCACTTTGAAGCCGATCACGCAGGGAGCCTGTCTATTTGCTGCTGCGAAGTCTAATTAGATCCAATCACGGCCGTCAGCCGGCTCTGACATCAGCGCCGCTAGCCCGTGCGCCCCTGTCAGCAAACTCAGCTCCGGTTTGGACGGCGGAGCTGCCCGGGGCGCTGGAAAGGGAAGGGGCCAGCCCGGGAGGGAGGGGGCGCGGGCCGAGCCGGCCTCCCTGCGAGAAGCCCGAGGGGCAGCGGACGGAGGAGTCCGCCCAGCCCGGCTCCCGCCCGGCCGCACGGACAGGGCACCGGGCCCCCGCGCTCTCAGGCGCAGGGACCCCGCCTCTCACCAGTTTCTAACTAGTTAATCCATTGCACACCCGGGTGTCAAGGGGGAAATATCTCTCTAAGAAATACCGAGCCCTCGCTTCCTCGGCCAGGGGCTAAGATTTGCAGTTCCCCGGGAGACAGGCTCTTAGGGGGATTCATTTTTCAGAACCCGCATGTTTGTCTGTTTGGCTTTCTCCTTCACATCCCTTGGCTGTTCCGTCTGCAAGGAAGAAATGCTGCATAAAGACGCGGGGGTTCGTTCAGAGCCTGATTTTTAAGGCAGGAATGTCAGTAGGTTGCTCTATTTAGGGAACAATGAAATGAAAGGCAGAGAGGGCTTTTATCTGATAGTTTTATCACCGAATGTAACATTGGGATGAAAGAAAGTAATATTTACCAGGAGGTAGATTGCAAATTGAACCAGGTTTGAACAATTTTTTTCAGGGTTATCCTGTTTTTTTTCAAGACCATACTTATGGAACGTTAAAAATCTAACATAAGATTTAAAAAGGAAAATAGTCCAGCCATCTTTATTGCATTTTGCATTTAAATCACATAGGCTGTTAATTATAACAGTAATGGTTTGGGAAAAAAATCTACTCTAAAAGTCATTAGCGTTAACAGGATGATGCAAAAATGGCACACAAATATTTCTATTTCCTACTTTACATACACCCTCTTCAAGCTCCTCATGGACTTAGAAATTTCCAGATAATTTTATTTATATGAGAAAAAAGTACTCCCTCTAGGGAACATTGGAAGCAATTGGGAAGTTTGGATGTGCTGTTATGCAGGGGGCTGGGGGTCTTGGCTCAGCTGTCACTGTCTGAGGGGAGAGGAGGGCGTCTGCATCCAAGGCTAGCCCCGCTGCTCTGCCTCTGCCGACCGGTGCAGACTAGCCTCAGTCTGCTCATCTGTGCAGTGGGGATCACCACCTTCACTCCTGCTTGAGAATCAGTATAAACAGCGATTTGCGACACTGATCACTTTGTAAATGTGATCACTGGTAAATCAGTGGGTACAGTTTTTTGAGAGAATGAGCACACATTCTTCCAGTTAGCCTCAGAAAGGAGGGGCTTGTGTATTTCCTGCTTAGGCGTTTAAGTGTCTGGCTCATTTCAGGCTGATAAATGCAGTCCCATCAGGGTCCCTCTATGTGCCGGGTTCAACCATTTCCTGCTACCGACCTCGACCTCACAGCCCACCTCTGCTGCTCTTTCTCATGAATCCTGGAGAAGTGCACCACTCGCCCACGTACGCTCTATAGCATGAGAGATATTTGAGAGCGTCAGCTGTGTCTGGAAATGCAGCTGTAGGACTCCCCCTGTGGAAACTTGGAGTCAGTACCAACCCAAACTTTCCCTGTGTAGCCTTTTGCAAAAAAAAACTAGTCCCCGAGGCCAGAAGCCAAGGGGAGATGTTTTGGGGAGAAATTTGAGCAGATGTGCCTTCCAGCCTGGTTGCATTTACCAAGCCCCTGCTCACCTGTCATCACAGATTCTTTCTATGAGGTGCGGGTGCCCTGGCCCCCTGGTTGGAGAGTGGATGTGGTCACTGGGGACTACAGCTTCCAACCCTGAAGGGGGGTGGTCAAGGCCACACACTCAAAACCCGGATTTCAGCACTTAGTTTAGATCCTGATTCAAAAGCTGGTCAAGATCAAAATCTTGGCTGATCTTTATCTTTTTGAAAGTTCTGGGGTATAATTTAAGCAGACGTTATTTTGCATAGACAGGGGCTAGTCTCTGTTTTTGTTTACTTGCATAAAGTCACGCCTCATTGGGAAGACGGGACAGACTCAGGCCTGGCAGCTCAGTGAATCTATGTCTCTGGGGATGGAGGAGGCTTCTGAACCAGAGCTCGCCATCACACGCTCTGACACAGGACGCCTTAGATGAGGCTCCTGTCTCCTGTCTGTTTCCAATCACTTCAGCACAGCTTGGCGGTTGGTGTTGCTGCACAGACGTGAAAACACAGATGCTGGAAGAGCTGCAGGCGCCCACGCCTCCCCCGGTCCATCAGGAGGCTCCGCTGGCCCGTCTTCAGCCTGTCTGAGCCAGAACCAGGAGGTAGGAGTGGGGGTCCCAGCAGGTGGGGGGCTGCCTGGAAAGTTAGGTGCAGCCCCTGCGTAGCTGTCACGGGGAAGCTGGACAAGGACAGAGGGGCTGGGCAGGCCTAGAGGGGAGCAGGTCTTCACACTGAGGAAGGCCTGGCCTCAGTACAGGCAGGACGGGCCCCCCGGGGTGTTCCCTCCACCCCAGGATCTCCATCGCGGGTCTCCTCAGACTGTAGGTGCACAGTGCTTCTGGGTGGTGGTCTGGTCTGCTCCTTCTGGCGCCCTCAGAGCCGTGAGGGACCTGGGCCAGGTCTGTGGTTCGAGCACCTGAGGGGTCCTGGAGCTGGCCTAGACTGGATATGCCACTTGTCCCAGGCATGTTACTGAGTTCATACCGACTCTGATGTGGTTCTCACAGAACCTCCTTTTACTCTCGAGGAAGCTGAGACTCAGAGGACTTAGGAAACGTGCTGAAGTCACCGTGGTTAGAAGGGGGTTCACGGGGGATAGTTCCAATGTGATTTTTTTACCATATTGCTCTGCTTGCTTTCATTCTGGAGTTGGAGATTCGGAAGCTTTTGTGAACTTCTGCAAGCCTTCTTTGAGGGACCTTGTTGTCCTCGCATCCTCCAAGGTCAGGGAGGCTCAGGGTGCTGGCCGGCTAGAATGTTCCAGAAGAACAGGTCTGTTTCTGCAGGTGAAGAGCCTGAGGGTGGCACATTCACACCAATAAGTCCCCCAGCCTCTCCACCCGCCGTGCACCCCTTTAGGCTCCTGGACTCAGCATCTGTGGTTGAGACCAACGCACGGCTTCTTTCCTTAACTGATCACAACATCTGCACTTCCAGTTAAAAGTACAGTTAACTTGTTTCTCACAGGTTTCCCCAAGCGAGTAACTCCCACAGAAATGAACAGGACTTTTGTAGAGTCCAAAGTTTAGTTCAGCTCCCCTCCACTCCCCTGACAAGTTCTACCAGGCAGAAAAAAGCAGCACAGAGCGTTCCCTGGACATATTTATGCCTGCCGACTCATCACCTCATCACAGACTGCACTAAATTTTTACTTTTAACAAACAGAGAAATAGCTCAAGAGGGCTTTTTCATTCTTTCATCTTCAGCCATTGTTCTTCAAATTAAGTAACTCACATCAAGGAAATGGCCTGAGACCTGGAAGTGGAGGAGACATGGGGATGACCTGTGCTGTGACTCGCGCCCCACTCCTCATTCTCATCCAAGGGGTGGGAGCGGGACGGCCAGCAGGGGAGGGCGCGAGGGGTCCAGCCTGGAGGAGGGCTCTGAGTGCGGGGCCACCCTGGGCACGGTGCTGCACTGACAGCCAGCTCTCTCTCTGTCCCTGCTTTCTCTCCCAGGCATGCCTGCAGTTTGGGAGAACACCAAATGCATCCTTACCAATTTCAAAGCAGATCTGCAAAAGATCTGCTTTTTCCAAGTTCCATGTTCTGTGATTACTGATTATTTCTATGTAAACTCTGGGGACAAATAATTTTGGCTGAGTTTTTTTTCTTAGTTGATATCACAAATTTTAATTTACCAAAGTCTGTCTTCCAGCTGAAACTTACTTGAGTTCTGTATTGACGTCTAAAGGAACATTCCTCAGAAAATGCTGGTAAAGAGAAGGAAAGACCCTGAATTTGCTACCATCAGGCCAGATTCATGTTCTACTTCTCTGTGCGCTGTGCCCACTCCTGGGAAAGGCAATGAACCCTCCCGAGCCTCGTCTGTAAAATGAGGAGAAAGACACCGCAGAGCTGCTGGGAACACTGAATTAGGAACAAGCAAGCTGAGTGCTTTGTAAAGGGATCCTGTCAGCTTACTGTCGTCTCTCAACACACAGTGCCCTGATTTTAACCATAGACTTCCCAAGACGAGGACAATAGTCAAGTCAAAGTGGTCTCTGTGATGAAAGCACCCCTCCAGACTTCCCCGGTGGCTCAGTGGTGGAGAATCCACCAGCCAGTGCAAGAGACACGGGTTCAATTCCTGGTCCGGGGATATCCCACATGCTGTGGAGCAACTAATAATCCCACAACTGTTGAGCCTGTGCTCTGGAGCCTGGGGGGTGAAACTACTGAGCCTACGAACCACGAACCATGAGCTCTGTGACAAGAGAAGCCACTGCAAGGAGAAGCCTGAGCACTGCAGTGAAAACCCAGGCAAAAATAAATACATAAAAATGAAAAGAGGAGCCCTGAGAAGATAGTCTGTCACTGCATGGATCCCACGGGCACCCCAGGCCCTGTCTAAGATGATCTTGACTCATTGAACCTGCCTCCGGGGTAATTGTAGCACTGATTCCTTTCCTTCCTAGAGTGCAGGCTGCCAGCCATGGGACAACGTCCACATCAGTGTTTTATGATCTCTGTGACCTTTGGAATAAAGTATGGTATCCTACCACTAAGTGTTTGTGCAGGATAAGAGAAATGACGACCTGAAATAATCCTCTTCGACATTATAGATAGGTTCAATAACTGACATTTACGCTTAAAATACCCTTAGTTGCTAGTTTCAGAAATGTGAAACCTTAGTACTTTATTGAATCATAAAGAATTACTACTATTTAAAGCTTCCTTAATGCACACCCTATCCTAGATTTTCCTTTGTGTCTTAAACTGATACAGTTCAAAGAGTTAATTTTTTAATGTTTCAAATCTTACCTTGGAACCAGTGATTTTCAAAACGAGCACTGTCATATCTCCAGAGAGCTGTGTGATGGCATGAAGAAAGCGAAGCACAGATGGAATTAATGGTTTGGGGTGTTAATCAACGTAATGAATTAAAAGGAAGGGTTGGGAGCTTGTCAGGCATACGTTTCTGGTATTTGGACTCG